GTTACTACTTAATATTAAGATATCTGTTGTATTACTTTGTGTGTGTGTGTGTGTGTGTGTGTCGATAAAAGGAAATAAAAGGTAGACAAAGCAAATTAAACAAAACTTAAAATGCTTAAAAATGGAGGGGAAGGAAAAAGGGAATAATAATTGAAAACCGTTTTTTTTTTAAAAAAAATAATTTTGAATTTTTTTAAAAAAAAATTAGAGTTTTTAAAATAATGTTAAAAATTAAAAATGATTTAAAAAATAGTCAAAAATAAATTACCCAATCCTGGGGGTGGCTAGCGCCTCGATGACGCTCCCTGAGTGATTACTGGTTATTTCTGGATTCTTGTAATTTTGTAATTTTAATTGATTTTGTTTTGTAAACCGCCCAGAGTCGTTCAATGAGGTGGGCGGTGACAAATTCGGCAAATAAATAAATAAACAAAGAAACAAACTATTGATTTCTGACTCGCCCCTTTTCGTACATTTACTAATTTGCGATATTTGTAAGCGTTCAGGCTCCTTTCAGTTTGGCTCCAGCTTGGCGTGATAGTAGCCTAGTCCGCCAACCTCCTTTCCCATCCTTGGGGAGCCGCCTTCCCCGTCTTCATTTCTACTCCCCTCCCTCCCTTTCAGGACTACTACAGTATCCCGTTCCCCACGCCAACCACCCCGCTGACCGGAAGGGATGCGAGCTTGAATAGCAACCCTTATTCTGGTAAGGTGTGATGGGGAGGAAGTGGGATTCCATCCGCTCTTGCGTCGGGGCCGTGGGAATGGCGGTTCGCTCCTCCGGACGGGTGGATGTAATGGAACTCCGCGCGGGGAATTCTTTTTCACAAAGCGCTGCGGTGGCCCATCTCCTTGGGTGACTTTGAAAGAAGATGGGATAAGACCAGTTCAGGGAGGAGGAAGTTTGAAGGGTACGTTATAGCAGTGTTTCTCAACCTTAGCAACTTTAAGATGTGCGGACTTCAACTCCTGGAATTCCCCAGCCAGCCATTTTACCTGTTCCCTGTTTTATGACGTGCTTTTTTTTGGTCAAAAACGGGTTTAGCCCACAAATGCAATCAAACCTTTTGCCTGGTTTGGCTGTTGCCATCCCGTGTCCCGCTGGGGAAGGCGAACATGAGCTTGCCTCGCTGGGACGGGCCCGGCTTACCATGCACCCCCTTTGCTTCCAGGCGACCTCACGAAATTTGGCCGAGGTGACGCCTCTTCCCCTGCGCCGGCCACAACGCTGGCCCAGCCTCAACAGAACCAGACACAGACACACCACACCACCCAGCAGACGTTCCTCAACCCGGCCTTGCCTCCTGGCTACAGTTATACCAGCCTGCCCTATTACACCGGGGTTCCTGGGCTGCCCAGCACCTTCCAGTACGGACCTGCTGTGTTTCCCGTGAGTGCCAGCCTGCTGTGGGATTGGGGGGGAGCTAGAACCCCATCTTCCCCTCTCCTTCCCAGCTCATTCTCTGCTTTTTCCAGGTTGCGCCCACTTCTTCCAAACAGCATAGTGTCAATGTCAGCGTGAATGCCTCTGCCGCTCCATTTCAACAACCCAGTGGTTATGGTTCCCACGGATACAGCACGGGTAAGGAGATTGAAATGGGGAGGGGGGTGCCTTGCAAGAAGGAGTGGGGAGGGAAGGAATCTGTGGTACAGAGTTGCTGGCTAGTTCCGGCTTTTTAACCTGGTGCTTTCTGGGTCCGTTAAGTTTGCGGCGCTCTAAATTCCTACCCTGTCGCTCTGCTTCCTGCAAAATCCTGTGTCTTGTTGCTCCAGCACAGATAGCCAGGGAAGGTTGGAGCGAATCCGTTTCTTCCCTTCTGCCTCTCTCGACACAGCCCCATTTGGGAGCCTTGCAGTGAAATAGACTGACAGATATAAGGAAGCATCGCTTTGCCCGCTTCGTAATAAAAGATGAATCAGATTCATGGAGATGTAAAGGATGTATTACTCTTACTTGTATCAGAAAGGAGCTTCCATGGGCAGAAGCAGCCTACCCTTTGAAACCGGGGACCAACCCACAGAAAGCACTATGTACCTCCCTGTTCCGCCTGCGCGGTTGGTACTTTTTTGAGACGTTTCCCGGCCTCCGTGAGAGTTGAGAGATTTACTGCACAAGATTCCAACCCAAACTCAGTTTTAGATGCTGTGTGTTCAACTTGCTAAGGGGGTCTGTTCCACCCCTAGGAGCAGTTAAGGGGCTGAAGAGTGGAGGAGGGAGATGGCGCGCTGTTAATTCTGCTCCTTCTTTTTCTCCTCGCCAGGAGTTTCCGTAACATCCAGTAACACAGGAGTGCCTGATATCTCTGGCTCTGTCTATTCCAAAACACAGGTTGGTACTCAAGCATCCCGTGGAGGATTTGTAGGGCCTGGAAGCCAGGGCATCCAATGACATATAAATCAATGAAATTAATAAATGACTGCTATCAAATTCCCACCTCACCCCAGCCTATCCCAACCTTGAATCTTTCAGCATTATTGGCCTTCCCATCTTGTCCTTCTTAGGCGTGCCAGTCTCTCTGGAGCAGTGTTTCTCAATCTTGGCGACTTTAAGATAGTGGACTTCAACTCCCAGAATTCCCCAGCCAGCCTGTCTGGCTGGGGAATTCTGGGAGTTGAAGTCGCACCTCTTAAAGTTGCCAGGGTTGAGAAACACTGCTCTGGAGAGATGGTTTTCTGCCCTTAAAATATTTTTATCCTGTCCTTTAACACAAACTCACCACAAAGCCAGTTTGCGAAGCCACCTCTTCAACAGCAGACCTCCCTAAATGCCATCGGCCTGCGTTGAAAGTCAAAAACTCCTAAAAAGAGCATTCGTTCGTTTCTCATTGAGCTGGAACAACCCGGTTTTTAAGATCCCTTTAAAAACGGTCAGGAGGGAGCCATATTTGCCTCTCATGGTTAGGCTGCTCCCAAAAGATCGGGCTGCCTTTCTCATCCCCCCCTCCCCCCACAGTTTGTTCACATCTTGAAATCCAAGCTGATAGATGTGGGATCCTTCAGGTCACCGGGCCAGAGCTCTGCAAGGCCCTAAAGGTTGATAGAGCATGTTAAACTGGGTCCAGAAACATGCTGGTCTCAACCCCCCATGCTCGTTCTAGAACCTGTGCTCCGTGCATTCTTTGCCTGGCCCTGCAAGGCCGCTGGGAGAAGCTTCTGAACTGAAGCCAGCCCACATGAAGCGCTAGCAGTTATTAGCCTGGATAAAACCGCAGCAGGAATGACTAAAAACTCAGGCTGGGCCGCCTGAATTCTAGGAAGCTCAAGAAACATTCAGCACAATTGACAGAACTCAACAACTGCCCTGCTTCACAGACCATCTGAGTTTGAAGTCTGGTTTGTCCACCTGAGGTTCTTTAGGAACCAGAGAGGGCACAAGCACACGGGCCCGTGAGCTCACACTCGTTGTTTTCCTCTCGGCAGCAGTCATTTGAGAAGCAGGGATTTCACACTGGGACGCCAGCGGCCTCGTTCAACTTGCCGTCGGCGTTGGGCAGCGGGGGCCCGATCAACCCTGCCACGGCTGCAGCCTACCCGCCGGCTCCCTTCATGCACATCCTGACCCCACACCAACAACCCCACTCCCAGATCTTGCATCATCATTTGCAGCAAGACGGGCAGGTAAGTATGAATTCCCTCCTGAAATGGACTCGCCCGCGTCTCCGGCTCCCATTTCCTTCTCCCACCCCAAAACATGGAGCTGCCGATGGCGCTCCAGCACATGCAGACAAGGGGGGGATGACCTGGAGAAACCTCGTGCTCTCTCCTTCCTCCTGGGTTGTCCTGAGGCTGCTTGGAAAAACTTTTCGCCCCTTCCGGCAGATTTTCTCCCTTTGTTCCCCAAGCTCTTACTCCCCCTTGCCCCCCCAAATCCCAGAGAGGCTGTCATAATGTGTTCTTGTATTTTCCATATCCTCGGCCTGCACTTACCCCCAAATTTGCAGTCGATTCTGTACTTCCACCACCAGCAGGAAGACCCAGTATTGAACATCTCGGAAGGCTGAGGAAGGCCTCCTGCTCTCCTGGTAACGTTCAGCCTTTTGTCCCAGACACCCACCGGTGTAAATACAAGGGCAAGCCCCTCACGCGCCCAGAAAGCTGCCCTCTGCCCTCCAGATTCTCTGCCCCTGCTTCTCCCTCCCGTCCACGCACCCCACAGACCATTTGGATTGTTTTGATATCCGAATATGACACCCTCTGGATAGAAAGCTACGCAAAGGCTAACCTAAAAGAAATCTTCCAGCGGTAGGAAGTGCTATGGCTGGGAGCTAAAACACCACAGACTTGACCTTGTCGCCTTGAATGAACTGACAGGTCATAAAAAGCACAGCTGACTGTCCCCTCCAGTCCGATTCTGGCCCTGAAACCTAAATCACTTGACATCCCACTCGGTCTTCCTGTGTATTCTGCAGTTTTGGTCAAGACTGGATTTCCAAAGTTTACCATGTAAGCAGATCTGAATTGGGAAGGAATAATAAAATTGGAATTATGTGGCTGGCTTTAACTTCCTGCTTCCCTTTTGGCAGTTAGTTGCTGTAACCCAGAACCACAGCGTGGCCAGGGTTGCTAGCCAGCCTGTTCCTTGTAGCCCCAGCCCATCTGGAGGCAAACCTGGCTAGGGAAGACTCCCGCAGGCTGTTCTGTTTAGGAACAGAAGAGAGTTCAGGATCTTGAGAAACTGCTGCATTATTGGCAAGAGGCCCTTTGAACCCCTCTCGATGAGCAAGAAAACCCCAAGGCTTATTCTGGCTATGGCCGGCTTTCCTTCCTAGCCCACGTTCCGCTGTTTTTTTCCCTATCCTTGCTCTGCCACACGCTGGACCGGGTTCACCCATCCCGCTGCCAAAAACAGTTGCCCAACCACCACACCACGCGTGGGAGAGCAGCCACGGCGTTGTGCGTGACTCTGTTTCGGTCTCAAGTTGAGAGGAAAGAGAGTCCGGAGCGATTCATCTGCCTAGCAGGAGAACCCAAAACTTCGCTTTTAAGAGACCCCTAAAAGAGCTTTCCCGTCCAACGGCGGTTCAGATGCTTGATTTCGGGAGAGCCGGCTGCCACCTTCTCTCGGTGCCCGAGTCTGCTCCGGCTCTCAGAGCCGGGCCTCCGCAGCGTGGGGGAGTGGGGAGGGGGCCGCTGGCCGACGCTCAACGCCTTTCCTCTGCCCCCTTTCTCCCCCTGCAGAGCAGCACCGGCCAACGGAGCCAGGGCAGTTCCATCCCGCAGAAATCACAGGCTAACAAGTCCGCCTACAACAGCTACAACTGGGGCGCCAACTGACCGCCCCCACGGCAGCCCGACACTTCAACCGAGAGACAGGCAGAAGAACAGCAGCGACCCATCCGAAAAGGAACGACCCCACCTGGGAGAAAGCCCTGCAGCCTTGGGAAGCGGAGCCTGGCCTGGCCGGGCCGTACGTTCCTTCCCTTTCCTCCCATCACCTTTCCCTTATTGTATGTAATATAGAATTTGTATCTTTTTTTTTTCATTTTCTCTCTCTCTTTTTTTTTTTTCCTCCTGCATTCATTCAGAGAGCCGTTCAGCCGTAGGGGCCTTTTTCGTTTCGTTTTGTTTCTGTTTCGTTTTCTACTCCTTTACT